AAGAAAAACTATTTTCAGTTTCTTTAAACTCTAATTTCTTTTGTCTTAAGCATTTCATTGACCCTCATCTGGCAAATAATTATAGAGCATTTAGCAAGTGATGCACTGGGCATAGTAAGGTCCTTGGGAGTCTCAAGGAGTTGTTCCACAGTGATTATGAAGTTCAACATTCTAAAATTACTAACTAAGGAGAAATTCTTTAATGAATGCTTCTGTCTTCACTTTTTAACCTTCTGAAATCATTACACTTGATTATTATCATTATACCCAGATGAACTATGTCATTCCATCTGCACACAATGCTATTATTAAGGGAGACATTACTGTTGTTTCTTTTTGTTTTTCAGATGAGGCTTAGAGAGGTGAGAGCTAGCCCAAGTCCAGCTGGCTAGTATCTTACTCCATCTAGAATGTTGTAACAAGTTACCATAATCTGGGCAAATGAACAACAAAAATTTATGTCTCAATTCTGAAGGTGGGACACACAGATTAGAGTCTCCACATAGTAGATTCTGCAGAGTACACACTACTGGCTTCTTGCTGTCCTCACATGGTAGAAGGGGAGAAGAGCTCTCTTGGGCCAATTTTATTAGGGCACTATTACTATTCTTGAGGATTCTTCCCTCGTGTCATTCCTACATTCTGAAGGTTTCACCTCCTAATACTGTCACCTTGGAGATAGGTTTCCATATATGAATTTTAGGAATCACAAAGATTCAGATCATATCAGTAAGTGATAGATAAATTTACATTCAGGGTTGTCTCCTCCTATACCAAAGCATCATTAACTACTATGCAGTTTTGCCTTATTTAAAAATTATATTCTTAAAGTGTTTCTTCAATTTATATTTGCTTCATGCTGACTATGAAATCCATGTAGTATGTAGGTCAAGCAAATTCTACTTTCTAATGACAGGCACATAGCGTTTGTTCTCTCAGAACTCCAAGAGCCAAATATATTTTGTATCTTCATGAGATTTATTCCACAGCTTAATTATACTTTTAAATTGATGTATCCTTGTTTCTTCCAGAATTGTGGCCTTAGGGTCAAAGTTTACAATGAGTATAGAACAAGTTAAGTTAAACACAGAGACAAATTAAACACTCAGTTATGTTAATCATTTTATCTTATATTCCCCCAAGAAATAATTTGAATTCTATATATATTGAGTGTATGCTATTATCAAAATAGTTTATGGGATCCTTGGGATCCACATTTAATAAAGGTTTACCTTGTAGTCTAGCTTGAGAGAAGTTCATGCATATCTTTGGTGATTACTAAATACACAAGAATTTTGTGAGACAATTGCTTAAAATCAGTATCTTTGGAGTATTCGCATCATAGAAATCTCCTAGTACTACAATTTGTCAGGGTTTTGAACTTTTTCTTTCTTCTTTCTTATCTGTAACATAGAGAAAATGGGACCATTGAATTTATAAGGCCTCTGCTTTTTGCTAAGGAGAAGATATAATCATATGCTGAGGAGGAGGGTAATATGGCTGGGAGAGATGAATTGAACAGAAGTGTTTTGGAATAGCTAATGAGAAAAATCAGAAGAAAAAAGAGTGGGAACAAAGGAGAATATTGAAATTTTTATGTATGTATAGATACTTTTTTGGAAAAAAAACACTAAAATTATAAAAATTATAAATGGTCATGGAAAGATGGTAAAATTATGAATTTCATGTGAAATTTGGATGTTATGACTAATATACAATAAAAATGAAGAAAATGGTAGGTCTGATTACTTGATTATCCCATTAAATTCTATAGAAGGGAACTGATTTGCCCTTCCTGTAATAAGTTTTCTTCTCTTTAAGGCTGAATTATCTTGAAGTTTTATTGTTCATGATTACATTATTTGATCTGTCAATTAAGTGCTTTTAAAAGTAACAATGATACAGTTCATTTAGGTAATGTGTTATACTTTACAAAGTGCTTTCACTGTACATTATCTCTTTTCATCTCATTTGTTGTTGTTCTCCAATTGGCAATATTAGACCATCTAGCATACCTTTTGAAGGAAGATTTATATAAATGCAAACTTAAAGTTATCTTTCATTGCTTTGAAATAAAATGAATAGGCCTGAAGGAAAACAATAAACCCAGAGGACTGAAAACTCATGAAAAATTTCAGTTACTTAAGAAATAGTTTAATTAAAAAAGTCAGATGTGTTATGTGGGTTTAATAAACAATGGAAAGTACTTGTAAATTAGTGACAAAAATTAAGAATTTGTGTCTGTATCTCTGAGCTAAATAATTTTAAGTCAAGTCATTTTATTTTCTTCAGAATAAAAATATAAAATAAATATTTTTTGAAGCACCAAATATCTTCTCTAGCAATGACAGACAAAGGCTTAAACGTAAATCCTTGTCAATCTGCTCTCCCTAAATTGGCAATTTCAGCTCATGGATCTTTCTGTTGTCTGCTTACTGGAATACATGCTCTGCTGCAACATCCAGAGAAAATGTGAAAGATTCCAAACTTAATTGTTAAGGTTTCCTGGGCTGGGAATGTGGCTCAGGCGGTAGCGCGCTCGTCTGGCATGCGTGCGGCCCGGGTTCGATCCTCAGCACCACATACCAAGAAAAATGTTGTGTCCACCGAGAACTAAGAAATAAATATTAAAAAAATTCTCTCTCTCTCTCTCTCTCTCTCTCTCTCTCTCTCTCTCTCTCCCCTCTTTCACTCTCTCTTTAAAAAAAAAAAAAGATTTCCTAATTGATTTTTTCTTAAATATTTTTTTTTACTTGTGGAGGGACCTTCATTTTATTTATTTATAAGTGGTGCTGAGAATCGAACCCAGTGCCTCACGTATGTGAGGCAAGCACTTTACCACTGAGCTACAACCCCAGCCCCCTAATTAATTTTAAATGATTCAAGAGGCACTCATTAAGGTTAGAAATTTTATTCATTTGGATAAAAAAAATCTTGATAGTTGAGCTTTGAATTTGGTAGTTATTGCTTGTATCAGTATCTATTGTGGGGATAGCTGGATACTTCCTGAATTTAGAAAAATAATCCAAAGTATATGTAATTCTGTAGGAGTGTAGCACTCTTTCCTAGAGCCATTTGGGTTCTAATAACCACAATAATACTATTATAAGTGTTTAGAAATTTGGGGGAGAGTCAACAATTTTCTGATATTTCTAACCATTTTAATATCTTTAGCATATCTGTCAAAAACCCAAACTTTGGGGGCATTTAAAATCCTGGAGTTAATATCTTCTAGACACAAGTTGCCATTTATATATAATGAATATTCCAATACTTCAAGCAAAATATGCCCATTGAGTAGCTGTAATTATTTAGTACAGCTTAAGCAAATTTTATAAAGAATTATGAATGATGTAGTTAAACCAAGCAAACATGCATACTTACTGAAGCATATATAATTTACAAATCTGTAGCTGTAATAGTGCATCTTTTGAACAGATGAGTAGAGCATTGCCTTACATAGAATTCATTCCTTTTTTTATTTCTTTCACTTATATGTGGTTTAGATCTTTCAAGTTAAAAAACAATAAAGACAAGTCATCTGCTCTTTCTACCACTGGAATAATCTTTCTTCTCTTTTACCTTCTGCTATCCACAATAATATGACCATATTATTTCACTTCAGGAAATAAACGTTATATTTTCAAATAAGTGAATATTTTCACTAAATTAGAGCTATTAAATTGTATATGAGTTTATCAAGATGAAAATTAATATTGAATCTTCCCTTCTGTGTTAGTTTTTATATTTTTATATTTCAATTGATCTCAATAATCACAGAATTAGGCTCAAATATTCTTAAGGAAGATATCTTCTGTGGTAGGAATTATGCAAATAAATTATTCCAGATAATATTCAGATATTTTCTAAGATAGATGCCTATTTCATAAATATAGTATGTTAGAAAAAAAATAAACTGAGCAACAACACTATTTGCACTAGTCTTTGGATTCTTTTCACTATATCTAAGTTGCTTCTTTTCCAAAAATGTTAGGTTTTAGCAGTGGAAGTTCCTGCAAATGCTGGTACATGAGCTTTTGTTTTCTCACTTCAAACACACACAGAAGTTGTGAGAATCAGAACTGTATTTCACTATTCACTTGTATAATATTGTGTAGCCGAGGACATCACACCCAGAGGTGAGAAACCTGGATGGCTGATAGGTAGAGAAGGTTAGGGAAGACCCAGAAATCAAATTTTGGAAAAGCTTCACTGTCAGAAAAAATTTGTTTTGCAAATAAATACCCAGAAAGTTGAGAACAATCACCAAAAACAATATCCTATAAATCAAGAAAGGTTTTGAGTAGAAGGTAAAATGTCAGCATGTTTAAAACTATGGATTTGTAAAAGAAAGAGAGTTCAGGTCTGTAGTCTGTCAGACACTACATGGGTTATCGAGCCCACTTGTTTCCATATATTTTTTTCAACAGGAGCAATGGTACTTTCATTTTAAGTGAAATATTACCTTCTTTCAATGTATAACATGCAGAAGAGAAAATTTTAAAATTAAAATTTTATGCTGTTTATTTGGGGGAACTCTTATCAAAAAAATAGATAGTTGGATGAATGCAAGTTTTCAAACTGTCAATTTATGAGCAATATTTACCATTTATATTTGATCTATTTCTCAATTTTGTTTTGAACACTCATCAAGTAAATACATGTTACATAACATGTTTGTGAGAACTATTGTTTTTTGAATTTTAGTTTTGGGAAATTCAGACCAAATATTTGTATATCCCCTAATTTATTCCAATATTACTTATGGAAAAAAAAAACAGGAATCACAGAGGCCCATTTATCAGTGAAGTTTAATTGTTCTGTTTCTCAATATAGTGATTTATTCTTCTGATATTTTCTTTAAAATAGTGCCCCCCCGCCCAGTCCTCAGAATGAAAGCATTCACTCATTCCTATATTTCTTCTTCATTCTCTCCCTCATTTGAACCATCAAAAAGTAACTCCTGAGCATTCACACCACCCTTGATATCTCCACTATAGGAGCAGCAGAAAAGAGTTCTAAGCATGGCGCTGAAGACAAGACGCAGACCATTATTACAGCCATGAAGGAAAGAATGAAGATCAGGGAGAAAAACAGGCCAGAGGTATTTGAAGTAATTCAGGAAATGTTTCAGATTTCTAAAGAAGATTTTGTGCAGTACACAAAGGCCGCCAAGCAGAGTGTATTGGATGGAACATCTAAGTGGTCAGCAAAAATAACCATTACAGGTAAAAATATGTCTTCCTCAAAAGTTTTATTCTATATTGAAATTTCTTTGTGTCTCAAAAATCACCACTAAAAATAATTATAGGTAAAGTAAGTATATTTTTTTCAATCTTGTCGATATTGACAATTCTAGCAGTGACTTTGTATTTCTAAAGTATATACTAGATAATTGGAGTAACTTCAGTCTGTCTTCTTCTAATATATTAATCTATACCCTGAAAATTGCAAGAAATTAGCTTTGTTACTGCTTGCAACTAACAAATTACAAGTGTAATAAACTCTTTAGTGAGTTTTTTAAATTGAGAAATCATTTTAGTTACTACTCACACATCTATTTGATACTTGAATAAAGGTCATTTGCATTTAGTGATATCTAGTAATTAGAACATCTGAAGTTGCTTGTGATGTTGACAGCAAGTGCCTATGTACGATGTTAACATTTAAAAAATTTCTTGACTTACTTGTATTTATAGGGTAAAATAAAAATCCTTCGTTTACTGGATTGAGTTGATTATTACTGACAGCAAACTCATAAAAATTTGTAAATCAAAGGCCTTTGAGTCATACTATGTAACTTTTCACATATTATTCATGTCTCATCATCTTTTTATATATTTATATAATAATGTACATATGAGTATAGAGTAAAAACACATATGCATCAGCAAGCAATTTTTGTAATAGCTATTATTATATTAATTATATGTAGCTATTATTCTTTAGAGACAGAATCAAATATTGGTCAAAGGAAGATTTTTATTTTTTTTAATTTACAGGTAATGTATGTTTTTAACTATGTACAACATGATATTTTTAAATATAAATATACGCATATATGTACATATATATATGTTGTGCACTAGTTAACTCTAGTTAGTTAAATGAATTATGTCACATTGTTATCACTGCTGTGGTGAGAGCATATATATTGTCTTTACATGTTTTAAGAATATAGTGTATTGTCATTAACTAGAGTCATATTACTGTGTGTAGAGTCACCTTTTTGATATATTTCAGTATACCTCTTGAAATGCCTTCCTCCTATCTCACTATAAGTATGTATCCTGACAAATTTCCCATCTCATCTTCCCCAAGCCACCCAGGTTCTAGCAACCACTACACTTATTTTCTTCTGTGAGACCAACTGTTTTAGATTTTATATATACATGACTTCATGTGATATTTATCTTTTGGTGTCTGGATTATTTTCACCTAACAAATGTCCTCCAAATTTATCAATATTGTCACAAATGGCTGAGTTTGATCTTTTCAAATTTCTATTTAAACTGAGCAAAAGACCTAAATTAACATTTCTCAAAAGAAAAATTACACTGACCAACAAGTATATTAAAAAATGCTCAGTATTACTAATTATCAGGAAAATGCAATTTGAAATCACAATGTGTTATAACCTCATAGATATTAGAATGGCTAGTTGCCAAAAAGAGAAAGATAAGTGTTGACAATAATATGTAGAAAAGGGTATATCTGTACACTGTCCGTGGAATATAAATTAACATAGCCACAATGAAAAACCATATGGAAATTCCAAAGAGAAGAAATGAAATAGAGGTACAAATTATCCAACAGTCCCACTACTGGGTACATATCGAAAGGGAATTAAGTTCATATGTCAAAGAGCCACCTACATCCCCATGTGTATTGTGGTACTAGTCACAATAGCTGAGATGTGGAATCAACCCAAGTGGCCATCAACAGACCAATGAATAAAGAAAATGTGATCATATACATGTCAGAACAGTATTCAGTCATAGCAAATGTCACAGGAAAGATTTTAATGTTTAATATACTTATTCTTTATTAATCCTGTTGGTTGTGAGAATGAAAGCAATGGGATGTATCTGCAAACCCAAGGAACAAAATGATAGAAAATAATTTCCTTAACTTTGTTTTGAAAATCATCATTATATTAAAATGTTTATTTTGGTTTATTTCAGTGGTTTCTGCACAAGGCTTGCAGGCAAAAGACAAAACAGGGTCCAGTGACCCATACGTTACAGTTCAAGTTGGAAAAAACAAAAGAAGGACTAAAACCATTTTTGGAAACTTGAATCCTGTATGGGATGAGAAGTTTTATTTGTGAGTATATAAATGTAAAGCTTATACACATATTAAACTCTGAGAAAAATTTAAGACAAGCTATAAAAGAATGTAAATAATTATATTTTAATAATATGAGGAAATTACAAAAAGTAAAACTGATGTTATAAACCTACCTAATATTCTCAAAACCCTTACTATTTATTCTTTATTATTAGAAAAACAAGAATAAAAGGAATACTTCAGGCAAAAAGAAGAAACACAGTTAGGATGACTTTGTAGAGGGAAAGCACAAGATTCACAACATGAGCTATAACCTGGGAATGACCCAGCTTAGCTAGAAATTTATAGGCTTCTTTTAGCAGTATTTTAACAGTGAAGGTTTATGACCAGTGACAGTAAAAATGCTCTGGACATCACCTGGCTTGTCAGTTGGGACAGAACCATACCTACAGTAACCTGTACTGATGAAATGGCTGATGAGAACTTTTATGACCTCTTGTTTTCTATAACCACATTTATTTTTAAACCTCTTATGTCTTGCATCTAAAAAACAAGATATAAATTTTTCTCTCAAGGGTTTCTTTCTTTCTATCACTATACTTTTGGGAGCTAAAAAAAAAAAATCTCCTAATTACCATTTAGTAGAAATAGGAAGCTCAAAGTGGATTTAAAGGTAGTTCTTTTCATTTTGTCCTCTCTTTACAAATGGTTTAAACAGGAATCTCATTAACATGCTAAGTAAACAAACCCAAAACACAGGTTTATTTGGGAATGTGAGCAAAGTGGGTAAGAAGTGGAGTCTCTTGTGTATATGGACTGATGAATGAAAGTGTTAAGAAATAGGTCGGGAAAATTAGTTGGGACCACATAACAATAGAATGAGTTAAGGAATTTGGATAGTTTCTCCCTTTAGAGTGATGGAAGAGACTACTTTAATATTCCTTTGTTTTTAAATACAAGACAGGAAATCAATTGGTACTTGTAAATTAAGATTCCTATAGAAGTCTAATAAATGAGTAAAGCAGGGTAAGGGCAGAAAGGCGGAGGGATGGAAACCATGGCAAAACAGGGAACACAACTCTGAGAAAAGACAGGGCTTGTGTTGCCATGTGATGATGCAGACACCATGCAGTGAAAAGTCTCAGATTCTTAGGAGAAGATGGAAATTCAATAATTTAGAAATAGTTCATTGAGGTATAATTGACATAATGTAAATTCTACACATGAATATACAATTTGTTAAGTTTTGATGTATGTATAACTCATGATCATATCTTCACCACAGATAAGATTAATGAGCACTGGAAGTCTCCCCTTCTGACTTCCCTTGTGCCAAGGCAGTCATTGCTATGCTTTCTGATGCTGAATACTTTTCCTTTTGCATTTTCTAACATTTTTATAAATGCAATCATGACATATGTGCTCTTTTGTGTGCTTTCATTCCCTCAGTGTAATTTCTTGGAGATCAGTTCAAGTTGTAGGGTATATCAGTAGTTCACTCCTTTTCATACTGTGTAGCATCCCAAGTGTATATAGTTATACCACAAATGTGTGCAAGTTACAGATCTAACACAACCTTCTAATACTTGATAAGGCTAGTCTTTTGTGTGTGTGTGTGTGTGTGGTGCTGGGGATTGAACCCAGGGCCTTGCGCATGCAAATCAAGCACTCTACCAACTGAGCTATATCCCCAGCTCTAAGGCTAGTCTTTTTCATATTAGCCTTTCTATTTGGTGTGCACTACATGTAAGGTTTTAATTTGCATTTCCCTAATAATTTTAAGCATCTTTTTTTCAATGTGCTATGTATATTCTTTGAATAAGTGTCTGTTCTAGCATTTTGACTATTTTAAAATATTTTTATTTTATATTTGCATGAGTTGTAAGTTTTACATTAGGCCTATAAAACATTTTGAAATAATTTAAAATGTAGTATAAGTTATAAGCTCATTTTATGCATATGAGCATACAATTATTTCTGTGTCATTGTTTTAAAAACTAAATTCCTTTCTTTGATAAATTGCTTTTGTATCCTTGATAAAATTTATTTCTCTGTATATGTATGGCTATATTTCTGGGTTCTTTATTTTATTCTATCAATCTATTTATCTGTATTCTAATACCTCATAGTATTTATTATCATATTCTTATGAGTCTTAAAATAAGGTAGTATTCATCTTCCAACTTCCTTCTTTTTTATCAAAATTATTTTCACTATTTTAGTATTTTCCAATTATTTCCACACTAAATTAAAATTAGCTTGCATTTTAAAAATTTTTTTATTTGTTCTAATTAGTTATACATGACAGTAGAATGCATTTTGACACATCATTTATAAATGGTGTATAACTTCTTATTCTTCTGGTTGTACATGTTTTAGAGCCATACTGGTTGTGGAATAATTCATGTCCATAGGGTAATAATGTCTGATTCCATTCTATTATTCCCATAACCCCTGCCTTCCCTTCACTGCTCTCTGCCTAATCCAAAGTACCTTGATTTTTCTCTCACCCCCGGCTCCTATTGTGAATTAGCATCCACATATCAGAGAAAACATTTGGTCATTGGTTTTGGGGGGAGTAGATTATTTCACTTAGCAAGATATTCTCCAGCTTGTTCCATTTAACTACAAATGCCATAATTTCATTCTTCTTTAAGGCTGAGTAATACTCTACTGTGTATAGATAACACATTTTCTTTACCATTCATCTGCTGAAGGGCACCTAGATTGGTTCCAAAGTTTAGCTATTATGAGTTGACCTGCTATAAACATCGATGTGGCTGTATCACTGTTCTAAGTCCTTTGGGTATAAACCAGGGAATAGGATAGCTGGTTCAAATGGTGGTTCCATTCTAACTTTTCTGAGGAATCTCCATACTGCTTTCCATAATGCTTACACCATTTTGCAGTCCCACCAGCAATATATGAGTGACTTGTCATTTTTTACAAAACAAAAATAAAGAAAAAATACCTAATAGAATTTTGACTGCCCTCTAGTACTGGCTAAGATTTCCAGTATAAAATCAAATAGGATTGATCAGATCAAACATCTTAGTATTGTCTCCAGCCTTAAATGTAAAACATTCATTTCTTGATTGACAATGGTATAATCTGTAGCATTACTTAAGGTGCCCTTTATTAAAGTAGAAAGCCATCTTCTATTCCCAGTGAATAGAGTTTTGAAGAGGAATGGATATTGGATTTAGTCACTTTTTTTCTGCATCTACTGAGATGATCATATGATTTGGATTGTTATTTTTTAAAAATGTTAAAGATCTTGCTCCATTGTCTTTGCTTTTTTGTTTTCTAAGAGAAGTCTGCTGTTTTTCTTATCTTTGTTCCCATGCACACGACATGTCTTTCTCCTCACAGCTGCTTTTAAGATTTTTATTTTCTCTCTTTATTTACACAAACTTATTAGGATATGACATGTTATAATTTTCTTTTGTGTTTCTGATTTTAAGGGTTTGTTGAGCTACTTGAGACCATAGGCTTTTATTTTCAAATTTGGAAAAATTTCAGTCATTATTTCTTAAATTAGCCTTTCTGCTCCCTCCAACCCCTTTGGAAACTCTACTTAACATGTACATTAGGCTCCACAGCTCACTAATGTTCTGGGTTTCTTTGTTGTTCTTGTTCTTTTATTCTCTTTCTCTTTTACTTTGGATTATTTCTATTCATATGAGCTTAAAATTCACTTTTCTTTTGTAATGTCTAATATCTATAAATCTAAGCCATTTTATTTTTTATATTAGACTTTTCCATCTCTGGAAACTCAAACTGAATCTTTTAACTTTATATCTCAAGTTAACTTTTTAAACCCATACAATTCTTAATAGTAAATGTTTTGGTGCTCTTGACTACCAATTTGAACATCTGTGCCTATCCTTGGTCAGCTTTGACAGGTAAATTTTCTCCTCATTGTACAATATATTTTTATGCTACTTCATATCCTGGTAATTTTTTTTTTACTTTTTTACTTGGATGCAATATCTTTATTTTATTTTATTTTATTTTATTTTACCTGGTGCTGAGGATCAAACCTAGTGTTCCACACGTGCAAGGCAAGCATGCTACCACTAAGCACAACCCTAGCCCATGCCTGGTAACTTTTATTTGGGTGTCAGAGATTGCAAATAGTACTGTGCTGATCACTGGGTAATTTGGTGTTCTATAAATATTTTTAATCTTTCTGGATAGAATGTTACAGGTAAACAATGGTTCCTCGGATCTTGCTTTTAAAATCTGTTAAATATGAATAAGAAAGATTGTGCTCAATCTCAGCTAATTATGCCTCACTATTAAGGTGAGATTCAATATACTCTGCCTACTGACTCTTGAATTATTAAGCTTTCTAATGTACTTAGTATTTCTGGTCTTGTATGAATGCTGGACACTATTACATCAAACATTTTAGATGCAGGCTGGGGATATAGCTCAGTTGGTAGAGTATTTGCCTTGCATGCACAAAGCCCTGGGCTCAATCCCTAGCACCACACACACACACACAGACACACAAAAAAGAATTAGATGCTCTCCAGCTAGCCTTGGGTAGTTTCACCACATGCTTTTACTGATCATTGTGAAGGTATTATAGATTTCACATGGTTTTCTGTCTCTCAAGAATCTCTGTTCTTCACCAACAGATCTCCATTATATTTAAAACAAATATTTCATATACTGTTATTTTTTTTTATTTTTCACATGTGAGGATACTGTTGCCCCTGTTACTTACCCTTACATGGAATAGAAATTCTGGCAATCTGAATTTAATTGATAAGCCAAAATAAAACAAAATAGTATGAATGCTAACCCAGAACACTTCTGTGTCAAACTATGAACTAAAACATCCATCCAGAGAAACACAATAGTGAAAATAGTTGCTGAGTATTTTAATCTTTGGGGAATCACAGAGTAATAAATGCAGTATCTGAGGAAGCTACCCCAAACTAATGAAAGGCCTATCAAAAGGCCTAAATGTGACAGTGATCAGTGTTTGTCTGAGTTAGACAAGCTAGAGAGCATCACAGTTCACA